GCCTCTCTGGGCCGAATCGTGGGCCCTCTCTAGGGCCCAGAGGGGGGCCCTCTCTTGGGCCCTTGATGGCCGTCTTGGGGCAATATTGAGGCCCTCGTGGGCTGCCTTGGGGCCCTCTGAAAGGCCTTGAGGGCCGTCTTCGGAGCCTCTTGAACTGGAGGCCTCTTGGGGCATCTTGGAAACTTCTTGGATTGTCTCCAGGCCAGATTGGACCATCTTGAGCCTTCTTGGGGACATCTTCGACCATCTTGGAGCTATCGTCAGCCATCGCGGAGACCACTCGGGCCATCTTGAACCAATTTGATGGTGACACGGGCCCTCGGGGATACGTACATTCCTTTGCTTGCCTCTCTGGGCTTTTCTGGGTGGCCGACTGGTCGGGCCGAAGACCACCAGGGACCTGTCCGAAGGGTCAACGGGCATTCTAATCTTCGGCTCGCGAAGCACCCCCTCAGCAGGCTACGGGCGCATCGGAGTAGCCGTCGGCCCATCACGCCACCGTGCTCTGTTCGCGGGCAAGAAGATTATCAGTGGCCTCTTAGGGTCTCCTGGTTGGTTACTTGGTGCCTTCTGGGATGCCTCGTCTGGGCCCCTTGGGAGCCTCCTGGGGTCCCTGTGGGCCTCATGGAGGCCTCCGGGCGGCTCTTGGGTGCCTGCTGGCGGTCCTCGGGGCCATGTTGGGCGGGAGAGTTTTGGGGGCCCCACTCGAGTTCCAGAATGGAGGCGGGTGTAACGGAGGCATCTTGGGCCCATGTCGGGGGCTTGGGGGATCTCTTGGGACGACCTTGGGCGCATCACGGGCTGTCGTGGACACCCTGAAGGCAAAAGCCGCCGTGGAGGTTTGACTATGACTATGACCATTCAGAAGCCCGAGGTGTTTCCGTGATTTAGGCCTCCTGGCCGGGCCTTTTTGAGTTTCCAAGACGGTTCCAGAGGCTCCCGAGACGACTCCAGGACGGCACCTTGGGACCATCCACCGGCGAAGAGGAGGAGGAGGAGGAGGAGCAGGAGGAGGAGGAGGAGCAGGAGGAGGAGGAGGAAGAGGAGCAGGAGGAGGAGGGAGGAGGATATTCTGGGGTGGTTGCCGGGGGGGCGGCCGCGTGGTACGGCATGTGGTGGAAGTCAGGATCCCCAACCAGCGCGCTCAGGGCGCCTCGGGGAAAAAAGTCCGAGCGGAGCCCCGGAAGCGATTAGAAAGTCCGCGAGGTCAGGTTAAGCCGGGCACGTCCCTCTACAGGAGGAACATGTAAGATCAGTTTAAAAAGTAGTCTGGGGACGACTGTTCGACTACGTTTTACCAGATTTGTTCATTTTTGAACCATGCTTTACTTGTCTTCCAAAGTCTGCCTCCAGGAGGGCATGCCCGACCTGAAGCAAGGGGCAGGGCCCCCCAGCGAGCATTTGCAAGATTGCAGGGGCCTTCGGGCCGTGCCCGCCGATCCTGAGAACAGCAGGGGCGCAAGATGCGGAGAGGAGACGGGGGCAAGAGGCAGCGGCGCCGCTTTACTGCGAGAGGCGAAGATCGACTGGCACTCGGTCAATCGCGCCACTGCGTTTCGGTCGTCTTCCAACGGCCTCAGAGACTTCTTTGAAGTGGCTCCTAGACACCTTTGCGGCCCACTGGGGTGCGTCTTTGGGCCTCTTGTCGGCCTCTTGCAGGACGTACGATCACGTTGGAGGGGGGGGCTTCCAGCGGTGCGACAGTGGCGTGCTCTGGGGCCCCCTTTGGGGGGCCGTCTTTGGGGGGCGCATGGCCCCCTTTTGGAGGCCCCTTGCGCCATGATGGGTCATCTTGGACGTGCTTGCTCCCGTGGGTTGGGAGCAGTGGGCCCTGAAAGAGCATCTACAAGATTCAACACTGAGGACTATGGGACTGGCGTTCACTTCACTCAGTGCTTACGGCACTGTGGCGGATTACCGCGTGCCGTTGCAGACGTCGCAACGGCGCCGGGCGCCATTGCAGAGGTCGCTGCGTTGGCGCCTCGGAGCAAGTGGTGCGCCTTGTGCTGGCCAGTCGTCACCGCGTGCTGCGCCCTGCAGCAGGAGCTCGAGGACGCCCTTACTCGCGAGCGCGTCCAGTATCAGCACATCGAGGCCGCCCTGCGCCTCTCCCGGTGCGGCCGCCGCATCTGCGCCGCCGCCGACGGCGGCTCCGTGGAGGACGAGCAGGTGCGCGCGCGCATCGAGGGCGAGATGCACCCGCTGAAGCGGGAGCTAGCCGTCCGCCTCGCGCGCAGGCTGGGCCTCTCGCGGCCCGGCGCGCACGAGGCGCACGATCCGCCAGAGGAGCCGGACGGTGCGAGGAAGCGGCAGCGCACGGGCGGGGCCTCTGGCGCCGAGGACGCCGAGGGGCCCCGGGCCCCGCAGGGCGGCACGCGGACCGAGCTGCGGTCGGCCATCTCGGACAGGCTCCCGGAGGTGCTGCAGGTGCTGCACGAGGCGCCCTCGGAGTGCTGGGTGCTGCCGCCGCCGCCGCTGGACACCGCCCTGGAGCTCTGACGCGCGCGGCGGGCGCAGCGCGCAGGCCGAGCCGCCGGGGATCGCTGGGCGCGCGTGGCGCGGGGCTCCGTCTGGGGGTGAATGGCAGAAGCTGGGTTGCAGGGGAGGCGCTGCTTGATGTTTGGGGTCTGCAGCAATATCCGCTCGCTTGCCCGAGAGTTTGCCCCGGCCCGGTCTGCTGCAGCACGAAGCGTGATGCGGCACCGTTTCGTTTTACTTGTAGTTGCTATTATTCGTAATACTTCGGACATAGATAACAATATCAGTATCTTTCGTAGTATCATCGTCAGTCTTGTTAAATATAGCTATATGAGTATGCATTATCTTTGAAAAGCAGATGTTGTGTGGCCACCTTTTCTTCCGTTCTCTCTCGCTTTGGCCGCCCTCGTCGCTGCGACTGGCTCGGCGCTCGGAGACTCGGAGCTGACCTGAGTGAGCTGACTCGCCGGGACGAGGATGAGGACAAGAAGGAGGATGCGGAATGATGAGGAATGATGTGTCAGGATGCCCGCGGGGGAAGGGGAGAACATGAGCATGACAATCAAGTTGATATTGCCCCTCTTGCTGCCATGCGCTGCCTCAAAGCTTCCAGCCCTGGCACCAGCGCGCTGCCTGGGACGCCCTGCTCAGGCTGCTGCAAGAAGGCCACCCTCTAGGGAGGCCGCTGCGTCTGCAGCAGTCTCTCGCGCTCCACCTCACTTGAGATACGGAGCACAACGCCAGGATCGGCACGATTCGGCCAGAGGGAGGAGGCCTCGGCGCAGTCGACCGAGGCGACCCCGAGAGACCGAAAGGCACCATCATTAGCCGCGATATGGCTTTTCGAGCTGCTGGCAGATGCGCTCCGCACTGTACGTGCCGCACCGCCAGCAGTACACGAGACTGGGGCCACTCGAGAAGGGCCGTGCCTTCGAGGATCGAAGGAGTTGTCATCTCTTTCTGGGCGGAAAGTGGCGGAAGGTCGGCGGGATGAAAACGAGGCCGCCTCCGCCAGCGGAAGCTCGGCGGAAGGCGGCGGAAGTAAAAGATGTGACCCCAAGAAATGAGCACGTTTCGGGGTTCAGGGTGTGTGGCCATTCTGCCGAAGTGCCGCCAGGAAAGCACAGTCAGGTCCTGTACCAGGACGCGCGCCTTGTCAAGAGCAGCTGCACACTTGTCCACAGCACGCGCGTGGCCGTCATGTCGACTGAAGGTCCTTGGAGCAGCAGGCGCTGGCAGCTCACGCATGCCATCGGGCTGCAAGTGTATTGCGTAGGCGAGGGGCCGTAGAACAGGGCTGGAGCTAAAGAGTGCTTTTCGTGTTCGTGTTGCTTTCGTGCTCCTTCGTTATGTCTCCGCTCCGCTGTTGATGCGACAAGGATCAAAGACATGGTTCGCGAAATCGCGAAACACACAGTTTAGTGCGTGCATTGCTGAAGGGCGCTCAGGAAACTGCGGAGCAGTGAAGGACACCAGGGGCAGCACAGCGCCCGCCACGCGGGCCACGACTCGAGCCTTGCCGATCAGGACCTCCGAGAGTTCCCAGGCCCCGGGGTCTTCCTGCGCGTGCACCTGGAGAGTTTGTTCAGCGTTCCCTTTCCTCGGGAGGGAGCTGTCGGTGCGGAGGTGTGTGTGCGCGGCCTGGCCCCCCACAGACTTCGCAGCTTCATCGAGCTGCCAGAGGCCAGAACGGAGCCCCGCGCACATGTTCCGCGATCGCACTTGATTGGCATACGGCCCTTTTTGCAAGCGAAGTGGCCCCAGGCAGTCAGAGTAAGCACCAACCATCTGGCGCTCAAGAACACTGGTGCTCACAAAATCCCCAGGCGCTCTGCCACCCGGGGGGTCTGAGGGAGGCTTGACCAGACAGGCCCGCGAAATTGGACAACTCATTCCTCAGGCACTTCAGCCAAAAAGACTCCCGCACAGGCCGCCCTCGCGAAATCACGAACCAGAGGTCTAGAGCACGACCCATCGACGACGACATTCACAGCACAATTGAGAATCGCTAACTCGTCGAGAACTTGGCCGTCGCGGCACAGCACCTGCGGCACAAAAGTGCGGTGTGAGGTTGGAATTGCAGAGAGGAGTGGGGAAAGACAAGACGGGTCCAGAAGAGGTGCTCAGGACCAGCCTCCAGCTCCTCAAAACGTGGCTCCGCCTCAGGAGCCCCTTCCCTGGCAGCTGCAACATCAAGGTGAGGAGATACATGCAGCCTGTGATGGAGCCTGGCACGGGCCCCGCACATCGGGCAACGTCGGTCGGCCGCATGGCCAGCACGTCGCAGTCGGTCACTCGTGAGAAATCCTTGCAGCAACAACAACTAGTGCAGCATACTTCCGCCGTGGTGCGTACTTCTTGGACGTGCATACAATTGTGCGCTCATGCTCACGTTGCACCGAATCCTTGAGGAGTGACTTGAGGAGCGACTGGGCCGTGTACGAGAGAGAACTCTCCACCCCACGATCACCCTCCCGAATCGAAACGAGTTTTGTCTCCAAATAATATTGTAGTGGCCTCCGGCCAGTGCCGCCGATCCGGGGCGCTCCGGGTGCCTGTGGAAATGAACGACGACGAGGAAGACGAAAACGACGACGAAAACGAATACGTCGACGACGACGACGACGACGAGAGCGACGACGACAACGACCACGACGACGACGACGACGACGACGCGATGACGACGACGACGACGACGACGACGACGACGACGACGACGACGACGATGACGCGAGCGACGACGACGACGACGACGACGACGACGACGACGACGACGACGACGACGACGACGACGACGACGACGACGACGACGACGACGACGACGACGACGACGACGACGACGGGGGGAGCTGGGTTGCAGGGGGGGGGTCTGCTCTGCAGGGGGGGTCCGCTCGGCAGAGGGAGGGGCTGCAGGGGAGAGGGGGGGTCCGCTCTGCAGGGGGGGGGGGCTGCAGGAGGGGGGGTCTGCTCTGAGGGGGGGGGGGGGACAGGGGAGGGGGGGGGTCCGCTCTGCAGGGGGCGGGCTGCACGGGGGGAGTCCGCTCTGCGGTGAGGGGGGGGGGGGGCTGGGCTGCAGGGGGGGGGTGTCCGCTCTGCAGAGGGGGGGCGGGGGGGTGGTCGCTCTGCGGGGGGAGGGGGTGCAGGAGGGGGGGGCTGCTCTGCAGGGGGGGGGGCGCAGGGAAGGGGGGGGGGGTCCGCTCTGCAAGGGGGGGGGGGCTGCAGGGGGGAGGTTCGCTCGGCAGGAGGGGGTCTGCTCAGCTCTGCAGGGGGGGGGGGTGCAGGGGAGGGGGGGTCCGCTCTGAGGAGGGGGGGGGGGGGCTGCAGGGGGGGGTCCGCTCTGCAGGGGGGGGGGGGGGGGCTGGGCTGCAGGGGGGGGGGTCGCTCTGGAGGGGGGGGTGGGGCGAAGCACTGAATCAGGTCGGAAATAGGTCGGAAATGAGGTCCCCCCCCCTCGGCAGAGCGAAGCTTGAGCGAGCTCAAGCCCACGCTCTCAGAAACTCACACGCCGGATCGGCGGATATGCAATAATATATGCAATTGGGCGAGAGGGGCATGCGAGCAAGGGGGCCCTTTGAGTGCCTCCATCTGTGGTGAGTCTCGATTTCTGCTTGCATAGCCTGATACATATGAGTGAGATCTCCGACCGTTAGATAGCGAGCGTTCTGGTGCAACCGCCGCCTGTCAAGCTGCGCCCTTACATCTGCCAACGGGTCGCCGTGGAGCCCAGTTAGCCACCAAAGACGCACCTCGGCGCGTCGGGGAGCGAACACTGAGCAGCGCAGCGCGAGCCCTCTGTAGCCCGAAGTCGCCCATGCCAAGAACTGAACTGCCGAGGCGGGCTTCAGCCCAGACGGGCTGCAGCCCAGCAGAGTGGATAACGGCCGTGCGATGCCTCTCATGCAAGAGCCATGTGCGAAAACGACTTGTCGAGCGCGTCGTAGCCAAGATTGCCGAAAACGATCCCGTCGTTTACGAAGCGCTCCCCCACTAGCTCGAGACTGTGCCTGTGCGAAATCGGCCCCAGGTTCAAAAATTGTCCTGGCGAAGGACCCAACCATGTGCAGCTGTGTGTAACGCAGTTGTGGGTATCGTCCTCGGTGAACCTCTCTCTCTGGGGCCACGACGCGTGTGACGGGTGTGCCAAAAATGGCACGGGTACGCCATGCGGACGTTGCCACCGGAGCCGTCGGTGCAGCCCCATGTGAGGCCACGAAACATGTGAGGGGTGCTCCGAAATGCAGGGTGGAACCACGTGCGGGCGCGGCCACTAGCGCCTTTGGGGAGCATGAAACGTGGAAGGGGTACGCCGAAATGGAGGGTGGAATTGCATGCGGAACTTGCCTCTATGGGGCCACGAAACAAACGTGTGAGGGGTGCGCCGAAATGGAGGTGGAACCGCATGCGGGCCCTGCCACTGGGGCCTTCGGTGGAGCACCTTACGGGGTCACGAAACGTGTGAGGGGTGCGACGAAATGAGGTGGAACTGCATGCCGACCTGCCACTGGGGCCTTGGGTGGACCACCCTGTGCGGCCGCAGAACGTGTGAAGGGTGCGTCGAAATGGAGGTGGAACCGCATGCGGGCCCTGCCACTGGGGCCTTGGGTGGACCACCCTATGGGGCCACAAAACGTGTGAGGGGTGCGCCGAAATGGGGTTGGAACTGCATGTGGACCCTACCACTGGGGCCTTGGGTGGAGCACCCTATGGGGCCACTAAACGTGTGAGGGGTGCGCCGAAATTGAGGTGGAGCTGCATGCGGACCCTGCCCTCCGGAAGCGCTTTCGAGTGTCCTTTTGGAGCCCCCTTGGGCCATCATGGGGGTTTCTAAGGCCCTCAGGCCATGTTGGGCCGTCTTAGGGGCCGTCTTGAGACGCGTTGAGAGCATCTCGAGCCGTCTTGAGACCGTCCTGGCCCCTCAGGAGGCCCAAGGTGCCGAAATCATAGATTTCCTATAGGTTTTGGACAGTTTTTGCATTAAACGTGGAAGTGGGTCGGCACCCCCGGCGGCGGCCCTGGGGGGGGATTAAGGGGGGTTGCTTTGCAACGTATAAGAACCGAAGTTTTGCAATTGTCCTTCCTCTACGCATCGTGGCTGGGCCCTGGCGTCACACACCCGTCCTGTCGGACTGCCGAGACGCTTCGCTGCAGTCCGGACGTGGATTCACTGGCTCACTCCACACCGCCGACCCTTGAGGGCCCGTGGATGTCGAGATCATAGTTGATGGCAGGAAGTCGATTCATGTGTTGCTTCCTCCTTCTCCTCCTTCTCCTGCTCCTCATTATTCTCCTCATTCTAGATGGGGCTGGAGCAGCAGCCCGCCCTTGCACGGCCGCCTGCCGAAGGCTTGAGGCCGACGATTCCTACTGGGATGGGGGTGAACTTGGCGAGGGGGTTGGCTTTGTTCGGCTTCCAGGATCGGGCTACGGCCGAAGCCCTCGGTGCCCGTGTTGTTGAGCGACGGCTCTAGCCGAACCCGAAATGAATTCGTCAGAGTTTTAACCCTGGCCTGTGGGGCGTCCCTGGCCCCAGGTGTCGACTTCTTTGAGGTCGATGTGCCGCCCTTGTTTTGATGCATGTTGGAATGGGATCGCTTCCCCAGCGGACGCCGGACTCCTCATCCTGTTCCTCTTCTTCTCTTTTTTTGTTCCGTTTCCCCCGCTTTGGACCCTGGCCTTTTTCGATATCTTTCCTTCTTTTCCCACTTAATCCATCTTCGATCGCAATCGTCCATCCTGCGAGAGCGCCGCCCAGAAGGCAGATGTCCAGGGTCCCCTGGAGCGTCAAGAATTGTGATCGATGCGCCTGCGACGGGCCCCTCGTGTCTCGTCGGGTCCTCGATCTCTCCTCCTCCTCCGCCTCCTCTTCCTCCTCCACCTCCTCCTCCTCCTTTCTTCGATCCGTGCTCCCATTGATCTGCGATCGTCAATCGTTAATCCTACGAGAAGGCCGCCCAGACGACAGGCATCCACAAAGCCCGGAGAGCGTGACAAAACAGCTTTTGCACGCTTGCGAGGGCCCCGCGCCTCTCTTGGAGGCGGTTGGAGGCCGCGAGGGTGCCGCTTGAGAGCCTCCAGGGGGGCTCGCTGGGGCCTCTTGGGGGCCTCTCGAGGCCCTCCTGGGCCGTCTGAGGCGCCTCTTGGGCCGTCTTAGGAACATCGTGGCTGTCTGGGGCCCTTCTTGGGGATTTTTGGAGCCATCTCGGGCTATCTTGGGCACCTCTTGGGGTCCTGCTGGGATGTATTGGGCGTCTCGTGGGCCGTCCTGGGGCGGTCTGGGGCCGTCTTGGGCCCTCGTCGAGGCCTCTTGGCTCGTTTCGAGTCGATCTTCAGGGCCTCTGGGGCAGTCTGCAGAAAATGCCCGCTTCCCTGAGGGAATTGGGCATTTTTTGCTTGTTATGGGGCCCTCGTGGGGGGTCCTCTTGGATCCCTCGGGGGGCGTCTTGGAGGCTTTGTGGGCTGTCCTGAAGCCATCTCAGGGCGACTGGGTGCATCAGAGATCGTCTAGAAACCCCTGGGATCCATATCGAAGCCGTCGGAGGCCGTCCAGGAGCATTTCTGAGGCGGTCGAGGCCGCGAGCTCTCTTGGTCGCACATACACACACATACACAAACACACACACACGCACACACACACACACACGCACACACACACACACACACACACACACACACACACCCGCGCGCGCGCGCGCGCGCGCGCGCGCGCTCGCGCCCCGTCCAAGGGGACCAGACGGAGCTCCTGGGGGAGGGAGTGTCTCACACGCCGTAGACCCCAAGTGGTCGTCGGATTTCTTCTCCGGAGAGTTAACCTCAATCGTTGTTGAAGGGTCCTGCACTTCGCACGTATGGCGTGTGGTACGTCATGTAGCGACGGGCAGACCTTCGTGTTGAGCCACTTTTGCAGGAAAGGGGGTGTGGGCAGGACGACCATCCTGGTGGAGTTGTGCTGAAGGATGCGTTTTGGGGGGGAAATCTGGTGTTGTGGTTTCACCCGCAGGTCCCAGCAGCGCAGTAGACACGATTATGTGCACACATGCGGGTATGCACAGAGGAATAAAAGATAATGTTGCGTGTGCTGCGCAGGTTGCACGGCGCATGAGCGATGAACGTATGTTGCGTGGATTTGTTTGCGCGTTGCTCGGTTATTGCACCCATGGACGCCTAAGAGGTTGGCAATACTTCCGATCTGCTATGATTCCACGTCGGTCCCCAAACGCTGACGCGTGCCCTGTAGAAAAGTTCCATTGACCACGCATTCTGCTGCGCCTTGCTCATGACGTCGATCCCGGTTCGCATGACAATGTTATTGCTCGTGCGGTCTGTCGAGCTGCTGGGCTGGCTATTGACGGGATATTGGGGTGAAGTCGGGCACATCCCTCTACAGGAGGAAGATTCCAAAAGAGTCAAAAGATAGTCTGGGGGGCGATTGTTCGACGATTTTTGGCAATTTTAAAAATATTTTCGGAGTGTTGAAAATTTATCGTCCAAAATCCGCCTGTAGGGGGACACGCCCGACATACTGCTGGGGTGAGAGACGGTGAGCAATCGATGAGCCCCCAGGATCTCAGACGGCTGGCAGTGTTTTTCTCCTTTTAGTCTTGTGGAAATGTTCTCGCTGATGTTGTGAGCCCCATGCGTGTGTAATCTTATTGGTCCCCGCCACTCAGGTGATTGACCGATCCCGGTTCGAGTTCGAGACTTGGTTGCGGGACCGTTCTGAGGAACTCTTTTCTTTGGAAGCGTTGCCAAATGAACAATTTGCAGAAGAGGGTCGATAGCGCAGACGCTCGCGCGTAAGCCGTTCGCGTAAAGTCGTGCGTAAGCGTATTCTTTTTCACGTGGTTTGCCACATGAGCGGCCCGCGTAAACCATCGCGTAAAGTCGCCATGTCCGAGTGCATAAGGTATTTGTCTTTCGTCGTTCGGATTGGTTGTACGACTCGGGCCGGCTGGACAGGTAGGAGCGATATGATCTCGTCCTGCCGATTACGATATTAGTGTTGCGCCTCTGCATCCCATGAGTACTTCTGATCTGCCTCCGCAACTGGAGAACCGCCCGTTGTCCATGATCGGTTGGTCTTGGATACGCAGCGGAAGTGTGTGAATCTGCAATGGCCTTCCTGTACAGATGGGGGCGTTCCAAAAAGAGCCTGGCCTTCGAGGATCCAAGGAGTTGTCATCTCTTCTTCCGCGGAAGGTCGGCGGAAGTAGAACGAGGCCACTTCCGCGGTCGGAATCCGGCGGAAGGACAGCGGAAGGCGGCGGAAGTAAAAGATGCGCCTTCAAGGGATGAGCGTCTTTGTGCTCAGGGTGACCGGAATCCGCCAGATAGTAGTACATTCCCCAAGGTTGCCGTCTCCATGCGTACCGTATTGATATTCGCCACAGGCGTGCGGGTGGTAAATATTGTGGTGTTGAGTTCTGGGAAGCGAGGCACAGCAGCAGGTACGCAGACGGGGGAGGGAGCGGAGGAGGTGAGAACGTGGACGCGCTGAGCTTGAGCCGAGTTTGAGAGTCCAGGAGTTCAGCCGCTTCTACTCCAGCTCGAGCTCATCTTCCCACTCCTGCCTCTCATCTTCCTCCCCTTCCGTCCTGGTCCCAGGCGATGACACGCCTGCTCCCCCTCCCCGTTCTGAATTTCGCGGGACGGTATCAATTCGAGATGATGAATGTGGCGATTGGTGCCCAGCGGACGACAAGAAGACGACGACGACAATTACGACGATGATTACGACGACGACGCACGACGACGCACGACGACGATTGCGACGACGATTACGACGACGACGACGGCGGCAGCGACGACGACGACGGTGACGACGACGGCGACGACGACGACGATGACGACGAATTCACACCCCCGGCACGGGGGGGGGAGACGGGGGGGGCCTCCGGCTCGGGTAGAGAGACCCGCCCCCCAACCCCGCCAGCGGGGGTGGTCGGAGGCGCCGTCCCCCCAGCGCGCGGCCTTCGTCCTCTGCCGGAGCCGCATGCACAGAAGACGTTCCAAGAGATTACAGTCCAGTCGGGCCTGTCCCTCTACACGAGGAGTATTCAAAAATAGTGAAAAAACACTCCGGAGACGATTTTTCTACTATTTTGACAATGTTTGAATATTTGTTTGACTTGTCTTAAGCTTTCGCCCCAAATTAAGATTACAGCCGGACCGAGGTATAAGATCGAGGTCGGTTCTGGGAGGGTTCCTTAGTGTTCTTCGTGCTTGTTGGATGTTCTTGTGCATCCTGGGGAGGACACCCTTGGAGGTTCTGTTTGTTTTGGCCGACGGAGGGTCTCATGTTCTTGAAGGATGCTCTTCCAGCCTCGATCCGACTGCACCAGCTCGATACATATCCCTGTCCCCTTGTTTGGCATCACCTTACCTCAGTGCCGATCTCAGGGATTCCCTCCGTTTCTGAAGGCACGTCCCTCAGATTGTCATCGCCTACGGGTTGCCGATCGGGATAAGTTCGAGGCCGGTTAAAAGACGTACTTACAGTCAACGCGCCTAGTAAGGACGTGCGCCTTCATCTAGGATACCCTTGCGTCCTTGCCTCTGTGGCCCGTCCTTTGCCGTTTTCACTGGTCGCCGCCGCCCAAAAAAATCCCAACTTCAGCCTCCAAGGGTCTTGCGTCCTTACCACGCGTCCTTACTATACGTTTTGACTGTACCCCATCTGCAAGATGTGGCAACACTCGAAGGACAAAAATCAGCATCGGCATACTTTCTCGGAGGTCCGCGTGGACCTCCAGAAGTTCATGTTCCTGCCACTATCTGTTCCCCGAAAGGTGTGGCAATATCAGCCTGCATCCGCGACGAGCGGGCACTTGGAGAGGGCACGCTGCCCCATGATGCACAAGCTACACGGGCAGCAGATTCGCCGCACGCCCCATGGGTCCTGGACGATGTGCGACACCGAAGAAGAGAGTGTGAAGGGGGAGAGAAGGGAGGATGACGATGAGGAGGAGGAGGATAGGAGGGTATCGGATGCTGGGGGGTGAGACCGAAGTGAAACTCGAATCAGAACAAACGCCGTAAACATAAATTGTTGGCGCTCCGCGCGGATTTCTTGGATCCGCGCTGGGCCCCCCCGGCGGCGCCTCCCGCGCCGCTCCTGGTGCGGCGGCCCCCATCCGAGGAATCCGCGCGGAGCGCCAAAAGTTTATGTTTATGCCGTTCTCTTTTTCGAGAAGCGTGAGATCGTTTCGTTTAGTTCGCGTCGCGCGGGCGAGGCGAGGCGAGGCGAAGCTGCGCCAATTCCTGCCCCGATGGGCGCCAGGTTGGTCCAACACACCGCCCCGTGTCCGGATCATGGCTCCCTGTGGCTCCCGGGTTGTCCCGCCGGTTGTCCCGAGGGCAATTCGATGGTTGAAGCGCGATTGTTCCGATGGTTGTCCCGCAGTTGTCCTGATGGTTGTCCCGATGGTTGTCCCATGGTTGTCCCGTGGGTGTCCCGATGCTTGTCCCGCGGTGGTCTTGAGGTTGTCCCGTGGTTGTCCTGTGGTTGTCCCATGCTTGTCGGTGGTTGTCCCGTGGTTGCCCCGTGGTTGTCCTGTTGTTATCTCGTCGTTGTCCCGATGCTTGTCCCGATGGTTGTCCAGTGGTTGCCCCGATGGTTGTCCACTGGCTGTCCTGCGGTTGTCTCGTGGTTGCTCCGTGATTGTCCCGTGGTTGTCCCGTGATTGTCCGCCCCGTTGTTGTCCCGTGGTTGTCTTGCAGGTTGTTCCGATGGTTGTCCCGCCTATAGAAAGATAGTGAGACCGACAGGTAGAACATGTATAGTGATTGATTGTGAGACCAATAGACAGAGATGTAGCAAGACCGATAGATGTCCGGGCCGATTCATGTTTTGATTTTGAGTCCGGTTAACAGATGGTTAGATCACGATTTTGCGAGATACATAGATCGCAAACCCGATCCGGCGCCAACCTCAAACCGAAACTCGATTCCCCGAAATCATCTCGGCGAAGGGTCCAGCCATATGAAGCTGCGGGTACAGCGAGGCAAGTGAGAAGAAGTAGGGGGGAAGGAGTGAAGGGTGTGCCGACATGTGGCGGGTGCGCCATGCGGATTCTGCCACTCGGGCCTTGGATTGAGCTCCCTATGGGGCCACTAAACGTGTGAGGGGTGTACCGAATCAGATGCGGGCACGCCATGCGGACCCTGCCGCTGGGGCCTTCGGTGGAGCCCCCTATGGGGCCACGGCACGCGTGAGCGGTGTGCCGAGTCAGATGCGGGTACGTCATGCGGACCTTGCCGCTGGGGCCTTCGGTGGAGCTCCTTTCGGGGCCACGAAACGTGTGAGCGGTGTGCCGAATCGGGTGCTGGTGCGCCATGCAGGCCTTGCCGCTGGGGCCTTCGCTGGAGCTCCTCTTGGGGCCACGAAACTTGTGAGGGGTGTGCCTCCGCGTGCGGTTGCGCCATGGGGGCCCTGCCGCTGGGGCCTTCGGTGGGGTTCCGTATGGGGCCACGAAACGTGTGAGCGGTGTGTCGAAACGGGTGCGGGTACGCCACGCGGACCCTGCCGCTGGGGCCTTCGATGGAGCTCCAATGGGGCCGCGAAACGTGTGAGGAGTGTGCCGAATCAGGTACGGGTCAGTACGGGTGCGCCTTGATGCGGACCCCGCCGCTAGGGCCTACGGTGGAGCTCGTTTTGGGGCCACGAAGCGTGTGAGGGATGTGCTGAATCAGGTGCAGGTGCGCCATACAGACCCTGCCGCTGTGGCCTTCGCTGGTGGACCCCCCTTTTGGGGCCACGGCACGTGTGCGCCGAGTCAGATGCGGTTACACCATGGGGACCTTGCTGTTGGGGCCTACGATGGAGCTCCCTATGGGGCCACGAAGCGTGTAAGGGGTGTGCGCATGATGGTGATGAGATGAGGGCATATGCTGGGCAGATGCAGGGATTGGAGGAGGGAGGGGGGGAGGATGAAAAAGGGAACGCGGGGCGCTGTCTATTTGAAACGAGGACCCAACACCACAGGATGGTTAGGGGAAATCTTGGCACTAGAAGGGTGG